TAGTACGTACTATAAATTAATACGTTACGGTTACGTACTACTTTTCTTCTTTCTTAACTAATAAGTAAGGTTACGTTAGTACGTACGTACTACTATATATATATATATATATATATATATATATATATATACAATATATCAACACATATGGTGAAACTTTGTTGTATTTAAATTTAGTTTTCTACTAAAATGAACTAACTTCTAAGTATATGCTCATGTGATTAAACAGCTGCTTTTAGATACAGTATCTTTAAAAATTTATTCAACTTCTCACTTGCGTTCGTTAGGTATTATAAACCAAATCAAAATTTGGCAAACACAATTGTTAAGATTCACTATTCTATATTAACATTTAAAATTTTAATTTACTTCGTGATAATGTTTACCCTTAGTTATGTAAATCTGAAATATGACCTTAGCTTAATTTACGAAAACATTTTACTTACCCGTTATGCTAACATTATATTAATATAAAGAATCGTCCATGCTGAAATACCACACAAAGCATGTTACATTAGGTTAATCCTAGTTACTTCTAAATTTGATGACACTAGCAGAACTGAAAACATAATTTGTAAAAAAAACACATGAATTGTATTCAAATATTTTATAAAATCAAAGTTTAACTTTAAGATGCTATATTCCCAGTGTTTGCCTACTCCACTAATCCTAAACCATTTCTGAACTTAATTTATTAATATTAATACACATTTTTTGGCTTTACATTACGCCATATTCACACAAGTCATATACCATGCTACAGTAAAACTAATTACGTTAGTAGCACTATGTTAAACAACTATACTAAGTCAATATTATCAAGTACTGTACTCAGTCTAGTCCCTACGTTCCTGTATTACACATAACATGAAAAGTTTCATCTACATCATTTAGTGATTTACAGTCTGACGACTTAAGTGAACAGAATTATGTTTAGCTGTACCACTGCGTTACCAAAAACCGTCAAAGGAAGATGAGGTATATTTAACCGAACTATATGCATTTGTGTTCGGTTACTATCAGTATCAACAGTAATTATAATGTATTACTCCCCTCTCCTATGGTTTTATAACATAAAAAATATTCGTTTAAAAAAAATCACAGAAGGAACCTAAGCTTATACAATTGCAGCGCTAGCCAGCGATACACATGCAGCAGTATGAAAAGTTTTGGACAAATTCCCCTTCGTAAGTTCATGTCTAATCGACATAGCTTAGTTTTTGGTTTAATCTTGATGGCTTGTAAGATTTTCCTGTTACCTCTCACAAATTAAAGCTATTCTCAATCTATACCTTCGAATATATAAAGCACATAGTTGAATGTGTTGGTAGGGTACTCGACCTTTCAATTTCTCCTTCATTCAGAATCAGTGTGTCTTTGTTTCTCTCCCCGACCAAGGGTGGGGCTATGGCAAACACACTATCAAGGGCCATTAATGAGGTTTTCGCATGTGATCCGCTCTTTTACTGTGGATTGTAGATTTCAAAGTGTCGAATATCAAAATTTTATAATTATTTCACTTGTTAGTTTCTTACGGTTACACACAGCTTCTTACGGTTTCGAGACGATCTGCACAATACAATGGCGCTATTTCATGTCACGCTATTGACGTCAGGCGTTGCTGAGCTGGCAAAAGCTTACGGAAAACCCGAAACTCCATGAGTTGAAGAGAGACTTTTCTAACAGAATAATTAAAACTTTCTTTTATAAATGTGAAGGAATGGCTCAATAATATGAATATATATATTTTAATTTTTTATATTCTAAAGTAAATTTATAATAATTAGCAGCTTATTATTCCAATATTATTATACGGTAATTTATAACAGTTGCACGTTATCTTAAGACTTTGACCTTCTTTTGTCCTCTTATTGCTTTCTAGGGAAAACAACAACTTCGTACTTAAAAATATATATTCAAGTATTGATCATTGTTAACGTTAGAAATAAAATCTGAATTAAATATATAAAGATCATAAAGTTATAATTAAGAAACACAGTGTTAAAAATGAAACTTGCACTTTTCTGAAAAATATTAAGATTAAATGATTTACCAAGTGTTTATTATATACATTTCAGAAATAGCCCCAATGTTAGTTGACTACCAAATTTAACTTGTTCTCTCTCGATCTGATTGGCAAGCCACGGAGTACGAAGTTCAAGTTACAAACAGATTTTTGATTTGATTGATATAAAATTTAATAGCTAATTCAAAAGAAATTGCACATGTTTTCGCATATTTTGATTTATTGTGCTATTTTATTTAAATCTATGTCATTTACAGATCGTTATAAGAAATGAATAATTTTTGATGGACTTGTTACGTCTCAGTTCGTTAGTTCCCTTTGGTCTTCCTGGGATTATACAACCATACCTTGTCTCCAGGCACAAACCTGACTTCAGTAGATCTCTTATCATAAGTTAACTTCATGG